CACTTACTGTATTAAAACCCAATATGAGCTTGAAACCCACTTTTCTCACTGTAAATCATCGTTGCAACATTCTCAAGACTTCAAAATATGGATCTTAAAAGTTTTTCATAATTCTCATTGTAGTCCCTAAACTTTATAGAAAACTCTAAATTGTCCCGAACTCGACTTTTCATTAATAATAATTTCTAGATATTGTTATTTAAACTGTAATAGTATATTCTCGCCTAACGGAAGTTTTTTTATTTTGCAGTTGAGTCCCTGTTAAAGCTGAAAAGGTGCTAATAGACCTAATAACTTCTTAATCAACCATACATGCCGTATATCATACTTTGTAAAATCTCGAGGACTTACAAGTTGAGTTGCCTTTCTTTTCATCGAAACAACAGTGTAAATCTAAAGAGAAGGTTACATCCGAAAAAAAAAAAAAAAAAGATTTCCCTTAGAAGTTTTTAAGGGAGCTTATGCCAATTTAATTTTTTGATTGGGCTGCAATAGATGATATGGCCTTAAAAGCTTCACAATTAGCACGTCAAATTATTGCCAGGACTAACGTGAAATTGATTGCAGTAATCTCAGTAATACCCAACTCGAGCATTAATCGCGCTCGGATTACCACCATCGCATTCAATGCCATTAATAGCCCGAATAGTAGCTCCAAAACCTTGACCCGTAGTTATACTATAGTGACAATTGTTCATCCAAAACCAGAGAGCAGTCCTGAATGACACTATACGATTTGTAGCTACGATTTCTGGATTGTTCAAACCATCAAAACCTATGATATTCCCTGTTGGTCCGTAGTTGTAATTCCACGATAGTTGCATAGGACCGCGCCCGTAATAACCCTTGTCGGGGACACATGGATATTCTCTATTACTCTCGTCACAATAATCTTTAGACGGACCATCTATTTCTTCTATATAGCATAAATCTGCATAAAGAAATCAATTTTTTTTGTTAAGAAACTTGAACCCTTTTATCTAAATAAAGGCTGACAATCATTGGTATGAGATTGTTGGAAACTAAGACGTGAAGGTGGAGATGCTAGAAGGATCTGGAAGCTGCTGGAATGGGAGTAGTGCTGGCACTCAGCTGAACGAGGGAGAAATTGATTCCATTTTTAGTTGTAACAGAATTTTGTTATTACCACATAAGCAAAGTTATTGTAATCTTGTGTATTTATGTCCTTGTAATTTCTCCATTCATTAATTCAATAGAATGAATTTACAGCAGACGTTTTCCCTGTTGCTTTAATCATTTTATCTATACTTCTTTTGTAAATTGTTTTATGGTATCAGAGCAATGGCTGATAATGAAGGAGCAAGTCATACTGATACAAATCAAAACCAAGTTCCACTTCAAAACTCAAATCCTATTCAAAACATTCATGATCCATCCCTTTCTAATAGCCCCTATTTCATTGGCATAAACGAAAATTCAGGAGCACTTCTGGTAACTCAGATACTTGATCCAGCAATTACCACTCCTGGGCAAGGTCGATGA